CAATGTGGCCCGTTGAGGGGGGCCAATATGCTGAAGTGGCCCTCGGTGAAATTGAGTTTGACACCCCTGCTCTAAAGAAATAAATCCATCAGATGTTCTCACACAAGACTTAATTAAATAATATGAGGAAAAAAGTAATTGTTTTTCCAATAGTTTTCTTAAACTGGTATAAAAAAATACAAAGTCTAACTTAAAATTAACAATGTTCTCTCATAAGGAAATTATAAAGTTAAATAAGATAATTACCATACAATATTGCCAATATCAAAAATGTTTGCATATATTAATTGGACTGCAGCACTTATGAGGGAATCACATGTCAGTGTGGTTTTAAACCTCCAGATTTCTGGAAGAAACACCAGCATTCATCAGAATAGCACAGTGGGGCAAATGCTTGTTTGGGAGTGAGCTACAGGTCAGGGTGATGTCACAGAGGCGTTCCATCCTCAAACACTTGGGTCTCATCAACAAAAGTGATTAAAAGTCAAAATACCAGCAGAAAAATACAAAAAGCTGGTCAATAATCCTGTGATTTTTTAAAAATTGAAGGTTGAAACATATCTAAAAGAAATTCAATGTGCCAGTTTTTTTTAAAGAAATCTAAATAAAAATAATGTGTCCACATTGATAATGTTTAACTTTCTATGAGAAAACAAACTTCTTGACTGTTTATCAGCAATTTAAATCTAAATGTGCCAGAGCTGTGAGTAGTTTAGGGTTTAACTGTGCTGTTCATCAAAGCGTGACGTTAAACAAGGTGTTGCTCTGTCTGTGGGATTGTGAGTCACCTTCTGACACGTCTCAATGAACTCTTCAATAGTCACTACCCCGTCTCTGTTTTTGTCCATTTTCTGTTGGAAGAGGAAACAGAACCTTAGAGAGGATAAACACGTCAGGACCATTTTGAGAAGAATACCTTTTTATACATTATGTTAGCATAAAATTGGGTGTTCAGAACCTGGAAGAACTTGTCAACGTGCTCTGACGGCGCATCGTCCCGTACGCAAGGGTACGTGTATCGCCCCATCATGTCATAGATGGACTTCATGATTGCAAGCATCTCCTGAGGAATAAAGATGGAGACAACATGAACTATTCACAGTCTAATTCTGCCACCACGACACACTAAAAAACTCACATAAGTAGAGATTTATATGTAAATAAACAAGTTTTACTGCTAATCTTTGCTTTGACTTGGAATACTGTATTATTTTCAAACTATAATGTTTTTAAAACATCTTTAACAATGATAAAACAAGGAAAAATAAAACATAAAAAATAAAAGTAATAATAATAACAGGAATTAGAAATAATTAATAGATTAACTGATGTGGATTAGGTTAAGTACAGGTATAAACAGTGTAAAAAAAATGGAAGACGGAACCAAATTATGATACTTAGGTTCAAACTGGGGTAAAAATTAAACAACAGGTGAAGTTTATGCAGTCTAATCAAGTAAATGATATTAAGCCAAGAAGACGAATAAGAAGAAACAAAGAAAACTCTTCTTTTAAGAAGAAATAAATGTCTAAACTCGTCTACAGTGAGTTGTAATGCTCTTGGGGTCCCCCTGCTGGTAAGCAATCCCCATGCAGCAGACTAGTAGTTTGCTTCACGACAAATTTGATTTAAGAAAATCCAAGTTTTTTGTTTGCGATGGACAAAACAACCGAATAACAAAGTTTGACTTAGAAAAAAATAATGTGGCAAAATTAATTGAATAAGCAATTTAAAATTACTTCTTTATGTGAAAATATAACATACTCTTTCTTTGATACCGAATACATAAGCAGTTTATGGGACTCTGCAAGATTTACTGAAATTATTGGTGGGAAAAAACAGAAAATAAAACATAAAGTGTTATTGAAATACACTAATAATATTTTTTCCAGTTATTTCAGAAAGGCCAATTCTGGGCAAAACCCTCTGTGTACTGAAAACAGAACTTTTCCTGTTTTCAATTATGTCAAAACATTTCCTCCTGTATCCAGCACACACCTCTTTGGTGATGTAACCGTCCTTGTTGATGTCGTAGAGGTTGAAGGCCCAGTTGAGCTTCTCTGTGACTGAACCTCTGAGCAGAACTGACAGGCCAATGACAAAGTCCTCAAAGCGGATCGAGCCGTTTCTGTTTATATCGAAGGCGTTGAAGAGGAAGTGGGCGTAAGTGGATGCGTCTGCGGACAGAAAGAAGTCTTTGATTGGTTTACTGCTTTTACTGGCAGAATGGCACACAAAGGTACACATCCAGGATAGATATGATGGAGAAAACATCAAGGGAAGAAGTTCGTTAGTGTGGGATTGGAATACTTTTGGAATAACTTGTTGGATTCTGCAGGATTATTAGGTTTTGCTACTTTTACTTTTTTCACCAATGTTCTTTAACAAACTTCTCAGGAATTCAGAGAAGATCTGTTTATTTTTACACTGAGTTTGAATTACACAGATCAACTCTTTACCAATTTAGTAACTTCTGGTTAAGCTGGTTGCATAAACATTTGAGTAAAAGGGAATATATTTAAATAGACACAATAATTTCAGATTTTCTAAATTTTTAAACAAAATTCACTTGTCAACAATGGTGTACAGGGACCCAAGCTATCATGAGCTGAATTAATTGATAAAGTACCATTTTCCTAAAAACCTGAGTATTCTCTTGTATCAAGAGGGCTATCTTCCCATAAATGAAGCGCATTCAAATTTAACCATTTCTGTGCCAGCTCTATAAAATACTGACTAAATAAACAAAACATGCTGGTTTTCTCAACATTATGTCTTAAACTTAGACATTTATAAAACAGAATAAGCAGGAACATGCTGCTGATGAATAGAAAAATAAAAGGTGAAAAGAAGAAACTATAGGCTCTGTGAACATTTAATCCCCCATAAACAGAGATATTCATACAGAATAGTGCTGTCTGTGGTTGCAACTGAAGGCGTGTTAAAACTTCACATGAAGTGCATTAACGCACGACAACCCCAAAATCAAACTTGCTTATTAGTATGTCCGTTAAATTTTTTCCACATCTGACCCTCCTCGCCTTCGCAGCAATTTCTGATCAAGTGGTTGTCGCGACCGTCATTTAATGTCGGCTGAATAAGCGTTATTTACCCTTGTGCGTGCGAGGACTAAGCCAAGGCAACTGATAAGTGACATGGGTGTGGGGTATGTTGGACTCCATTTGTAAACACAAGGATTAACGAGCTTGTTGAGTGATTATATTTCAAAATAAAAACCTCATAAATCTCGAATAATCTTCAATTAATCTTGTATTCCACACCGGACTCTGTTTTGACCGTTCGGTTTTTCTCTATTGGTCTGAGACGGCCACCATCTTTAATTCTGTATCAACTGCCTCCACTTAAGAATGACCAGCAGTTGCGCCCTCTGCTGGATGACGGCCAAACTACAATAATAAAAGAAGATCTACGCGGAAGTTATTAGTTAATAGATTGGACCTAATTTTAATCTAATAAAACATCGATTGACAATTAATCATACGTCAATTAATTGTATGAATCTCTACTGTTTTAAGTTTCACATAATATTTCAGTAAAACAAAATTAAAGGAACAAAATGGGAAAAGGTTAAAGGTGTATGAATATTATTTAAATAAGTGAAGACCTTGAACACCTTCCATTTCACTGCACTCATATTTTTACTTACAGTCCCTGAAAGGACAAGAAAGGAGCGATGGTTTTAGAGTCTAACCTCCTTGGGGAAAGAACTGAGAATAGATGGACTTGAACGTCTCCTCATCAACCAACCCACTGGGACACTCCTGCAGATGAAGGGGGAAAAATGTTAAAAACAATTAATGTTGCTATTAAAAGCATAGTAATGAAAGCAACAAAGAACGTCCTCGCCACAGCTTGACGTACGTTCTTGAAGCCTCGATAAAGAGACTGAAGCTCCTTCCTGGTGAACTTGGTCTGGGCCTGCAGCTGGTCCAGCCCTTCGGGTTGGTGACGCACCGTCGACAGCTCCAGGTCACTGTCACTGCTGTCTGTGGGAGCAAGAGACGGAGGGAGGACAGGGACGGATCGACAGACAGGAAGAAGAGGAGGAGGAGAAGTGGTGCAGAGAGGGAAAGATGAAGAGAGAAAGAGGGAGGACGGGACAGACATCGAGTGAGTGAAGGCAGGCAAACAATTGAGGGTGAGGGTGGGTTCCCACGTTTAACAGGGAGGGAGGGAAAACATGCAAGTTTAGGGGGAAGAAGAGGCAACAATCTGCTGAGAACCAAAAGGTGGAAAAAAAGGAAGAGGCGGAGGTACTTTCTTTCAGGTGGAGATCTCCTTAAACTTTATTTTTTTAGTCTAAATTTGAAGTTTTTAAACTCAATTCTCAAATTGTAGCTTTCTTCACACATGCTCAGAGAAAGCACGACATAGCTAGGAAAAAAACAAAAAGTAGGGAAGGTTTCTCCAGGTAAGCTGGGTTTCTCTCCATACTCACCATCTTCAGACAAAGAGAACAGAGGAGGAGGAGGAGGAAGAGGAGGAATTGGTGTTGACACCGAGATGGATTGAAAAAGAGTAAATGGAGAACAGTAGGAGAGTGACAGTAAGGAGAAGGAAAACAAAACAAGAGAAAACAAGTCAATTCGGGTCAGATCTTAAGAGGTGTAATGGAGAGGAGAAAATGTCCAGTTCAAACACCCAGCAGAGCAGAAACTATCACACACTGTGAAACATTAACCAAAATCAACAGAGAGGAACCAAGGGTCGGATTTTACGTCACATTTTGGGTTCATTTGGTTCAATGAGAACCAAATGAACTGAATTACGTAGGTCTCTGATGTTGCTTAATCTGAAAATCTGGATCCTTTTGAACATAAAATGTATTTTTCCATGACATGAAACACTCATTCGATCTCAGGGAGCTTTAACTTATAGAGCACCTTCTACAATTATTGTCATTCCTGATTAAGATGTATTAAAAGCATTGAAATCAATTTGTCTTTTTTTGCAGAAGCATCAGATTACACTTCAACAATTCAACTTTTTATTTGATTTCATTCATTCTGTGGGGGGAAAAATCACTTGCTGAGACTTTAAATGTTTTTTTTATGAATATTCAGTATCCAGAAAAAAAAACCCTGCATGCAAATGGTGGACATTCCTGCAAAAATAAAGCGAAATAATGTTTCTATAAATTTTATTACAAATTTACATTGTCTATCAGAGTCAGTATGAACATTTGACTTCAATCCATGATGTTCTGCTTCCCTGCAGTATTAAAGCTCATTTGTCTAAGCCACTATTCAGAATGAGAAAGACAAGAGAACATGCCAATCAAGTAAGAAAAAACAAATCAAAATTTTTTGAAGTCTAGAAAAAGTTGCTACTAATCCAACCTTGGGAAAATGTACATTCAGTCAAAAACAAGCAAATAAAAAAAGCTTAAACCAACTAGAGAGAAGCAAGGCTGGATGACAATCAAAGCTGCTCTACAGGGGGTAAAAAACAAATTATAAGAGAGCTGCAGCATCTTGAAGTCATGTCGTCTCCATAATAGCTTTTGGATGCTGCCCATTCACCAAATGATTGATTCAGAGAGAAAAAGGCTGTTAGCACCTCAAAGATACATGTGGTTGACTAAAACTGGAATCATGCTCAGATGAAGCCAAGATTGGACTTTTTGGCAGCAAATGCTTCGATAGATTAAAACATGTGGAGCAGCACCTGATGCTCACTACATGGTAGAGGATCTGTGATGCTGTGGGCCCATTTCTCTTCAATAGACTAGAGGAACTTAGAACTTAGTTAGAGCATAGGATCAAAAACTCTTTGAAACACCAGAATGTTTTATCCACCAACAGCCGTAAAAAAATCTTCAGACAGTAAATTAAATTCACCATCCTTCACCCAGTAATTCCTTAAAAAACAAACATTTAAAACAGATTATTACACACTACTTAAACACAAAGTATTTTTAATCTAGTGTCCAACGGAAATATCTTAATACGCTTGAAATGGGCTAAAAACTAGCTTACAAGTAAATTAAAGATATGGGAGGTTGTTTAAAGTCAACAATTTTTTATAATTTTGATGAAAAAGTTTTAGTTCCACTGGCAGGTTATTTCACTTATGACATGGGAAACATGTCTTATTATAAGTGAAATAATCTTACAGTGGAAAGTGAAATAATCTTACAGTGGAGGTTGTACTTCAAAATGAATATTAAGAAGTTATTGACTTAAAACAACCTCCTATGTTTTGCTGAAAAGTTACTTATAACTTAATTTTGTCTTATTTTAAGTATAATAAGACATTTTGACTAGGAACTATTCCAAAGATACCTGGTAAGATTTTATGTTTTATAGCAGTGTATTTTTGTATGTTTGTGCACATAAACTCTTTCCGCTATAGTTACCATTTTCTTTTGCTTCAGACCCATCTAACAACTTTCCAAGATATGAAACAACAGTATTACTTGTTTTACCTCTAGTATATTTGCTTTGAGGTCATATCTTAGTGTTTCATGACGCACCCTGGGGTCCTGACTTTATCTCTGTGGATTAAAGCAGCCATCTACCCCCGTCCTCTCCTCCTGCCCCTGCTCTGCCCCTCTATTGCCCCGTGTTGTTGCCTCACCGGTCTCAGTGATGTCGATCAAACCCAGCAGGTGCAGCAGCTTGAGGAACATTATCACCAAGCAGACAATGCCGACCGTCTGGAGTCCCTCCGTCTCCCATCTCACACTCATCCTGCCCTCTTCTTCTATTTTTCTTCCGTCTTCAGTCTCTACTTATCTCGCCTCTACATCACTGATTAATTGTTCCACCTCTCCATTTCTTGAAATGTCCCTTCTTCTGTTCCTCTTTCCTGTCTTTGACAGCGTCACTCACTTATTGCTCTTTTTCTGCCATTCTGTTAGTCTATCTAGCCCTCCCTCCCCTACTGACGTTTTATTTCAGCGTAGCTTTTTTCCCTCAGACCTCTCTTGCGCTTATTTTAGGTATTTAATGCTTTCGTCCAACTTTTTTATTGAAGCTTTATTGATCAAATTAATGTAAAACGACAACAAAGGAGTGGAACATATTGGTGTCCTGCAGACATATAAAAGCTTGGACACACTGCAAAAATGCAAAATACAAAAGTATTTTTTTGTCTAGTTTCTAGTGCAAATATCTTAGCATTCTTGAAATAAGACAAAACTAACGTACACGTAACTTATCAGCAAGATACAGGGGCTTGTCTTAAGTAAATAATTCCTTAATATTGATCTTATAAAAAGAGTAGTTCCACTTATAACACGGGAAAAATGTTTTGTTATAAATGAAGCATAAATTATAATATAAGTGAAATAATCTGCCAGTGGAACTAGTACTTGTTTTAATCAATATTAAGAAATTATTGACTTAAAACAAGCTTCTATATCTTGCTGAAAAGTTACTTATGTTAGTTTTGCCTTATTTCAAGTGTACTATTTGAACAACAACAACAACAAAAAAAAACAAAAAAAACTAGACAAAAAATACTTGATAAGATTTTGTGTTTTTGTAGTGCATCTTCTTTGGATGCAGGTTAAATTATTTATTCTTATTCCTCTAGCCAATTAAAAATCCTTCTACAGCCACATCCAAAAAAAAAAAAAAAGCTTATTATCCAGCAAAGCATCCTAAAGATTGAATCCTACAACGTCCTATCTGAACTAGTAATCAATATCTTCAAAGGAACAATGCACATAGTTTAAGATAGAAACCCATTTGTCTTTAAGGAGGCAGAGGAGAGAGACAGAGGTCAACAGGTGTCCTGAATCTCATTTTTCCACTCGGCTCGTTGATCCACTTTCTAATTGTTCCCTGGTCTCCCTCGGGGTCTGCAGTACAAATTTAACGTCGCATTTACTCATTGGAGTTCTGCCACAGTCACTCCTGTGTGATGAAGTGACGCTGTGAGCTCCCACGGGCCGCGTGACACTTGTTCTGAAACTTACGGCGCTCTTTGTCTCCCTCTAGTGTTCATTAACTGAACAACAAAAACAGTAACATTACATTTCTCTGACTTTATTTTGAAACCAGAGGTGAGTAGAGTAACCAAAAATTGTACTCAAGTAAGAGTAGCACTACATTAACATATTTCTCTGAAGTTCTCTCAGCTATCCAAGGAATTACTCAATAAATAATTAAGTAAGTTTCTTTCTTTCCTTCTTATTAAAAAGTATTTGGTAAAAAAGTTACTCATCTAAACATCAATCATAAAACATTTAAAAATCACATCATCAGATGGATCAAAATGTAAAGTTATATGGATATTTTTGTATTTTAAAGAGTAAAAGGTAACAATTCATATAAATAATGTAACTATATCATAACAAAATCAAACAGGCAAAAAAAAATTCTAAATCAATTTCTTTCAATTATTGGTATTTAATCTGTTATTTTTGTTTATTTTTTAAATAAACAATTAAACTTTCACAAAAACTGCTGATGTTTATTTCCTTCTTATTAAAAAGTATTTGGTAAAAAGGTTACTCATCTAAACATCAATCATTAAACATTTAAAAATCACATTATCAGATGGATCAAAATGTAAAGTTATGTGGATATTTTTTTAATCTTAAAGAGAAAAATAAAAAGAATTCAAATAAATAACAGAATTATAAAATAATAAAATCAAACAAAATATCCAAATCAATTTCTTTCAATATAAAACTTATAAAGCATTAACAAAAACTGCATCTGTATCTGCTGAATTTTTGATTAAAACAAGCTTGTTCTTTATTCAGTGCAGTTACTCACAGCAGTTTTACTCAAGAGTAGCAATACTTCATAATAAAGTTACTCAAGTCAAAATAAAAAGTACAGCGTAGTAAAAATATCACCCTAAAATAGCCACAACAGACTAAAGCAACAACCTCGCTGCAGCAGACCCACACTCAGCTGTGCAGAGAAACATAAAGTGAGTCCTGTGGGAGAGTTATCAGTTCCAGTTCAAAACAAAAAAGTGATCATATAAGCATCTGAAGAAAGCATCTAAAACATCGTTTGACACAGAGCCTCTGATAAAACCTTGATGCTTAAAATGCAAGCTAACTCCATGGCACAGTGTCAGACATATTAGTGTCAAGCTAAACGTGAAAACCTTAAACACAGTTATCCATCTCAAAGCAGGACTCTGGAAAATGAATTTATATGGCTGCATTTTTACCTAAAATGGACTGAAATGTTCTGTCAGGCAGCTGAAAAGTTTACAAAAAGTTACCCTTTTTACATGAAGTGAGAAGAATCACATATGTTTTCAGAGGAGTAATTTCATAATGAAATGAATTTAGCTTTATTTCTAAAGCTGCAAGAGAGAGGATTTGTCAATACTGTGTGCTGTGGACATGAATCCCATTTATTTCTAACCATTATATTCTTCTATGCATTGATACTGAAGGTAAACAAAAAGATACAGTTTAACCTGTAAAACTGACTTTTTTTTCCTGCTAAACAAATAAAACTGTACAAAATTATAAACGTGAATGCATTTCCAAATTTCAAATGTGTTTGGTAGAGGCTACTGTGACTTGAAAAAGTATTCATACTTCAACTTTTTATCACAATGCATTTACAAACTTCTTTACTGGGATTTTGTGTCAAAGGGCAACTGAAAGTAAAGCTTTAATGTAAAGTAAAAGAAAAAACAGTGCAAACAACAAACCTGGTTGGAAATAAATAAATGTTTGGTAACATTAATTGTTTCAAAAAACCTCACAGCTCAGTGTTGCCAGGCAACACTGAGCTGTTGCCTGGCAACCCAAGCCCAGCCCAGCCCGTCACCTAGCAACCCAAGCAGAATTCAAACATGTTTGGTCAGTTAGTTTTAGTTTAGTAAAGATTTTGTTAAGTGATTTTCCAGTTCAAAATAAAAGTGATCATATAAGCATCTGAAGAAAGCATCTAAAACATCGTTTGACACAGAGCATCTGATAAAACATCTATTTTAGCCCATACACCTTTCCTAACCTGTTCAAGGAAGTCTTCACATTAAATCAGACACACGTTTCAAATCCATTTGAACTGGATTTTATTTGGAGTTGTTGGAGTAAAGGGGTTTTTTCTTTCCTTTTTACTATCCTACGCCATTTTGTGTTGACATATCACAAAAATCATACCAACAAAACACACTGAAGTCTGTGGTTGTAATGTAACAAGGTTCCTAAGATCACAGTTCATTTTCTGTTAGATTTGTTAGATTGTTCTCAAAGACTCAACCTCTGGTTAGATATAATGTCTACAAAAATCAATCAACCATGTTGGTTAGGTTATGGTCAGGGTATAGACTGTTCATAGACACCGTCTGAAAACAAGATGCTTTAATGGAGGCAGGAAGTGATGGGATGTGAGCTGAGTGGACGCCTCCCTCCTTAACTTTCACTGCAAGGTTAAAACATTTAAGATGAAGTTGATCGGCTGGTGAATTGTTCTGTCGGGGAGATGATGAGGAAAGATGAAGAATGGTGAAAAACGATGATGGGAAAATCTGAATGGCAGGTCAGTGTCCTTCAGGGTCCTGGTGGAGTACTCAAGACTCCATATTTAGGTGGCCTCAGAGAAAGCCTGTTCGATACTGCATGTATAATTAATGTGAAGTAATGCTAAACTGGGGAGCATGGCCAACTACAAGAAGAAGAGTGAGCTACTGGAGCAACTGGAGATTGAGAAGGGTGATGAATAATGAAACGACATTACTGGTGTTTTTGTTGAATTTACGACTTTATGAAGCCTCGGCCATTTTAGAGTCACTAATGCGCCGACTGGAGCCTTCCGGTTTTAACCGTCTTGGCACTCTGACATATTGGCTTTCAGCCTAAAACTCTAATCAAAGGGCAATAATCAATCAGGGGATCAAATTTCTCAGTTACAGTCCCAAATGCACACAGACAGTCCAGATTTTGTGAGGAAACCCAGATTAGACAGAAGAGCCATTAACCTTTTCTGCTGTTCTGAACCTGCAGACGCACAAACGTCTGGAAGCTAAAAATACCAAAATAAATCAATTAAAAGGACCTGAACCAATAAATAACCAAACTAATGCGGATCACTTTTATTAAAGCATACAAGGTCTTTCTCATTAAATCCTATTTACTCTTATTAAGTTAATGTATTTTTTGTAGAGATTCAGATGATTAATGTAAAGTAAAATTAAACTATTCTCAATTTTATAATAACTGCTCACAGGTAATTAGAGTGCTGAGATTTAGCATTCAATTTTTAAAAAATATGCCTGCACTATCAAACCTGTTAGGTGAAAATATAGCTACATTAGCATTTTAATACTAAAGTATTTTAGACCACTTTCTTGTTGTTCACATACGAGATTAAAAAATATTTTACAAAATCTGCCTTCTCCCACTTTTTGACAACATCTTCAGAGCCTGAGGTTTGTTTGCGATCAAGATATTTGCGTTTAAAATTATTTAAACATTAATTTGGTAGAAAAGACTAATATTTTTCATATTATGTTTACAAAACGGAAGGGTGAAATACTCTGGTCACTTTATTACTGATCAAATGAATTAAAATGTAATCTTTATGCTTCATCAAATACCTCAAGTTCAGGTTCTGTTCAGTTCCGCTCTGTTTATGCTGCACGCCGCTCTATACTGCCACCCTGTGGCCATCCGGCAAACAACGTTGCATAAAATGATGCAGTGAAAAATCCTCCCTCCGGAAGTGGGATTGCCAGCCAGATGTTTGCAGCTGAGGATGTTTTCCACTTTTAAAACTTCGTTAGGAGGTTTGATGTTCTTTTAAGAAGAGACTGGATGAATCAGGTAGCAGGATTATTAGCACATAATCCGACAGTGAGTCGTTCCCGTTTCCTCCAGTTTCAGGCTAAAGTGTTTGTATGAACTGATTCATTTTTGAAGTAATTGTAAATATACTTTACTACTGTTCTTCTTTTGTTTTAAATGTATTTTGTTTGCATATAACTACTTTGTTTATTCGTTTATTACACTACGTTCAATAAAGTCTAACTACTAAATGCTGATTTAATATTCCTAAAATTATGGCCTAAGTTGTTTGCAGCTAAAAATTGATTTAGGCAAAAAATGACTCAGGCCATTATTTTGGAAGGTGATTATATATTGATCAATATTTTACTTACTATTAAAGGCAACACTAAATATACCATGCCTGGCAATATTTCTTCTAAACTCATATTATATATAATCATCACAAATACGGTGATATATTCCAAGCTTTTTCTTTTTGTAATTTTGATGATTATTGCTTATGATTAGCAAAAATACAACATTCAGTGTCTCAGAAAGTTAGAATATCGTGAAAAAGGTCATTAATGGAAACCCATGGTGTCACAATAATTAACTAATTAACTCAAAACTCCTGCAAAGTTTTCCTGAGTTTTTAAACGGTTTCTCTCTCTGTCTGGGTCAGTCGGCTAAACAATAATGAGGCATCGTTGACATCCTTCACAAAATGTCACTGCTGAAGAAGCCAGTTGTTCTGTATCCAAGCATACTAACAGAAAATTGAGTGGAAGGAAAAAGTGTGGAAGGGAAAAGGAGAACCGCAGCTGTGAGAGGATTGTCAAGTGAAATCATACAAACTCTAGAGATGGGTTACAAACGTCACGAGTCAAGTTGCTTCAGAACCAGAGATTACGCCACTTCATGCTTCCCTCTGCTGACGAGCTGCATGAAAATTCTGATTGTATCTTGCAGCAGGACATGGTGCCTGCCAAATGTCCCATAAGCTGCTTCCTTTACAACCACGAAGCTCCACAGGTTGATCGCCTCCATGCCATGCCGCATGGATGCAGTAATTCATGCAAACAGACCCAAACCAAACACTGAGAGCAAAGAACCGTAAATACTTTGAAAACATCCACTTTTGAGCCATCTAATGTGAAATTTGAATGTCTTAAGACAACATTTTTAGGTTTTCTTTAACTGTGAGCCATAATCATTAACACTGCAAAAAATAATAGTTTTAAATATTTTACTCTATGTGGAATAAATATCTATAAATGATAATTTCACTTTCTGAGACGACTGGTAAGAAATATTACGCTTTAAATTTTTAATATCTACTAGTAGATTAATATATCCTGTAAAGTTTTCCTCATTTTAGAGCAGCCCAGTCAATGTGACAACTTGAATCTGATTGTCAAGGTGAAATTATTAAAAATAAGAAATCATAGCAATTATGATCAGATTTTGATTGATAAAATTCAATTAAATTCAAACTTTTTTAACCCACTCCAAGTCTTTAGCTTCACATCATACAAACCACAGCCTAAAAAAATAAAAATAAAGGAGTGAGTAGAAGTATAAATTTATTCTTACATCTGTAGCATCATCAAATAAACTACTGTTCATGTTAACCTGGTTTATTTGATAATTTGACCAAATGTTATGTTTATTGCTTGTTTCATAATTGGTGACTATAAATTTGACTTAAGAAGAAAGTTTATCTTTCACCAAATCTGGAAACAGCATCTTCCTGTCATAACAATTTACGTTTTTACAAAAGTATAAAAGATATTTAAATTTAACAGACATTTTCCAGTCTCAGGATCTCTGTGTGATAAATATTTAAGTTATTGTTGCCAGCTGATATTTAGGTCTGCTTTACCTTCAAATGAGGAAATGGGCTCCAGGATGCCGAACTGCTTCAGAACCGCCATGAAGAGGATGACAACCACCCCGATGGCAAACAGCTCCATGCCCTGGATGCCCATAGCTGGAGGTCAGAGGGCGCCCACTCAGGGCCCAGTCTGGACACAAACGTCTGGCTTCCCCCCCCTCGGACACCAGAACCGAGTCCCACTGAGTCTGAAGCAGATGTTTCTACCAAGGGTGAGGCCTCGGGTTGGGAGTGGGGTAAACGTGCGGCGTGAGAACCAGATGGGCTGCTCTAATGTCAACACTGAAAATATCTGGAAGCCGACATATATGGAAAACCTCCGTCAGCGAGCCCACAGGGGAAAATGGAGTCTGTGTGCTGAGCCATCTCTCAGAGTGCATTAAAGGTTCGCAATCACTTCCCTTACTCACTTCCTACAACTCTCGGCTCGAACAGATACTATCACTGCTGCTCATGTTTACACAAACGATCCCCGTCTCAAGGAAGGATGAGAACGCCATCAAGGGGAAGTGAAGAGTGCAGCAAAGTGTCAGCGTCCATTTTCACGACTTGTTGCCCAGACAGAGATCTTTCGAAAAAACACAGCATGCTGTGAACAGCAAACCAACATAAATTACCCCATTATAGACCCAAACCAGAAACCTTCTACAAACCGAGAACAATCTCACTTCCTGGTGTTGCAGCAACCACTAAAGCATCTCCAAACAAACTAATCAGACTAAAGAACTTCTCATCTAAACAACCCAGGAAGCCACTTCAGTAATCCAGGCGCTAAGCCTCCAGATTCAGCTGCTGTCCAATTCAAAGTGCAGATATAAAAGCTCACTTAGCGGCGTCCAGGCGGAGACGTCCCGAGGAGCGGAGAGGTGCTGCAGGGAATGGAACCCCCTCCCCTGAAGTCGATCTCCTCTTCCTCCCTCTCTGCAACGTCCTGAATTATCGTTTTACAACTCCTGACTTGAACCAATCAGCCGTCTCTTCAGCTTCACATCCACCAACGTCTCTGGTTGAATCTACAAAATGTTTCACACCTTTTAAACCTTTTCACGTTTTACAATCATGAACTTTAATAAATTGACAGAGGAACAAAAAAATGGACAATTATAAAGTACAAAAAAAGGACCTAAAGTAAGAGTAGGACTACTTCAGCATATTTTTACTCATGAATGTCTGCAACTGGAACATTTTAAAGTGTAGCTTTTCCTTTTGTTGTGCTTGTGTTGTTTTTGTGTTTCTTCTAATTTGTTTAAACTGCCTTGTTGTTGAAGACGTGCTAAATAAATGAAACTTCTTCTTTGTGTTCTCAAGTAAACAGTAGCCATCCAAGAAATTACTCAAGCAAGAGTAAAAAAGTATTTGGTAAAAAGTCTCCTCAAGTACTGAGTCAAATTATCAATCATTTAATATTTAAAATTTACATTATCAGATGGACCAAAGAATACATTTAAGTCAAATTGTTTTTCAGGATAAAAATGACAATAATGCATATTAGTAACAAAAAATTGCAAAATCAAGCAAAATTATTTTTTCCAAATCAGTTTCTTTCAATATAAAACTTATAAAACTTTAACGAAAACAGAAGGCGTGCTGCATCTTTGGTGAATTTTTGTTTAAGTTTGTTTTTCATTCAGTGGGTAGAAAATCCAGAAATGTTACTCAAGTAAGAGTAGAAATAC